AGCTCCATCAGGTTCACACCAGCGCTGTTTGGCTTTACTGGCGTGAAGTCTTTTTTGTTCACCACCACCACTTATTTTTTCTATCATTAAAAAAAAAAAAAACAACCCACCAAAATGTTTTCCCTCTCCTCACTGAAAACTAAGTTACTATGGTTTGGTTAAAACTGTAATACACTCTTTTGTTGGAACCGTTACCAAGGCGGGACTGCCCGTGATTTAGGAAAAACAAAACCAACCGAAGCCAGAAAACAAACTAATTGATGCTACGCTGGGAGCCGCAGGATGTCAAAATGAGTGTCTTCTCAGAGACAGCCCTTCAGATACCCCGCACAAAATCTATTTCGTCTGATATGTTTCTCTAATCCATCTGAAAAACGCCAAAAGTAGACACCTACCGCCTACCGCCATTACTTTGTCAACAGATCTCTAAGAGATGGTTCACCGAGACCCCTCTTTGCTTGCAATGATTTTGCAGCTAAATCAAGATCAATATTCTGATCTGTGACAAGAATTTTATTAATATTCTATTTGAAAATCTTATCTTGCTTCCGACAAGTTCTGGTTTGAGGTTGGTTCAGTTTGGATAGGGCGTCACCACATTATTTCTTAATGACTTTCCCAGCTGCTTCTTTCCATTTTCCACCATCAGCAACCATCTGGTATCTTATTAGCACCTCAATGCTCATTTAGTGTTCTCATTTAGGAGAAAAAAGAAGTAAACACTCAAAATATTACACATTTTAACGGACCGTCTTTGGAAGATTAATGCCTTTATAAACCGATAGATAGTCTCAGTCTCTGTTTAACCAACAGATCGGAATATCAGAACTTTCTTCTGGGAAGTGGAAGAGAAGCCTCTTTTTTTTTTTTTTTTTTTTTCCTCCTGCTAAGATTGTTCTTAGTCTCACAGGGAAAAATCCTTTACAGTCATATTTCCTCTGTGTTTATTTAAAGCGTAAATCGTTACAAAGAATTCTGTTTCCTAATCTAATATTTTTTCTTTTTTTTCTTTTTTTTTTTTTTTTTTCCCCTGGCTTCTGTCGCAGTGTATACTAAAGCGTTAAGGCTCTTGATCCAATTTAGGAACCGGTTTGGACAGCAAAGTTATACACTTGGGAGCAGAGAGAAAACTCATCCCTCTCATTTTCAAGAATGTATTTTATAAGTGGAAGTCAGATCTGTTTATGTTCCGAAAATGGACACTACAGAACACGTCTGATGCATCACAATTGAAAAAAAAACTTTAATTTTACTATTTAAGAACCAGCTTCACTCAGCTTCTTAAATTTACGTGCATGAAAAGGGAATCTCGCAGCTTGTTTTTGTCAAAATAGCTGCAGGAGTCGTTAAAAGCTTGGATTTGGTATTTTGGATTTCAGTTAACCAAAGGCAAAACGACGACTTTTTATAAACAAATTATAAATGTTTGAATAGACTTGTAATATATGTATAATATCTACACCAACAGAATGCATACCTGAAGAGAGCTCATAATTTCATTTAGTTTATTAGACAAAAATATATGATTTAGACAAGTTCTGCTGACGCGTTATTTACAATCTGAAATCACTCTATATACAGAAAAAACACAAACACGTGGGAAACATTTACCAAACAAATAATCCAAGAATGGTTAGAATCACACGATCTGGAATGGTACAATGAAGAAGGGGATCCATCTACAGATTTGTGTAATCGCTTTTATGGATTTGCACCACCTTATTGCAAAAAGAGATTGATGGGAGTCGTTTATATCGTTTCCTTTTTTTTTTTCTCTTTCTCTTTTTCTTTTCTTTTTTTTTTTTTTTTTAACTGTCTTTAATACCAGTCTCTGGAATATTTTTTCACCAAACCATTTAATCAAGCAGAAGGGAGAGCTGTTAAAATTCTCGGTGTTCCCTCTTGCTGAGCCAAAGAGCTGCAGGGGGGGAGGGAGAGAGGAAGGGGAGAAGAGAGAAAAAAAAAAAAAAAAAAAAGACGTAACAATCTTTCAGGAAAAAAAAAAAAGAGAGAATCCTTTCCTATAATTGCCTGTCTATTGCTATAGCATCCTAGTATTAGTTAACTGCACAGAAATCATTGTCACTGGTGTAATTAACACAAGATCTTTGAGGTCTGTTAAGTTTCAGAGAAGTTACAGGCTGGCCATGTACAATTGCAATTTAGCCTAACTTTGAAAAGATTACAGCAAGTTCTGCGTTGTTCTTATTGTCTGTACGTATTATTAAGATGATGATTAGGTGTTAAAATTAGTCTTTATTATTCAAACACTCTGTTACACATAAGTAACATTCCTGCAGTGAAAACAAACAAACAAACTCACTTGTCACGGACAGGCTGGAAGGGCGATTTTAGCGGCTGAGGTGGGGATTCAGTTCTTGGTACATTTTCTCTTTCTAAAAGGAGACAGAAGCGGAAAAAAATGGGGGGGGGGGGGGGGAGAAAAAAGAAGAACCATTTTAGAATAACAGTAAAAATCTGTACAGTGTGCAGAGAACACACCTCCCTTTCACCCTCTTTTTCAGACGTGTGTAGGTATACACATGTATGTGTGCGTACAGCACTATCCCCTACTTTCAATATTTAAGAAACATGCATGTATGCAAGCTTTCCTTGCCGTATTTTTGAATGTCATTGAAATTACTGGGAGATGGGGGTCAGGAAGACCGAGGAAAGGAAAGCAAAACTCAAAGAATATGCTTCATGGCACTATTCCTGCATTACCATTTTACTTGATGGGCATATAGGGTGAGAATGTAATTGCCCACATGAAATGGGCTTAATGTGTGTGATCAACATGCTCCAGGAAAAGAAAGAAAGAAAAAAAAATAAATCAAAGTTAGGGTACACTGTCTGCAACTCCATTAAAAGAATCATTTACACCAAGGCTGAGTCTGACACTGTTCCTCAAGGAGAAGTTCATGTGCGTGTGTTGGGAGTGGAGGGAGAGGTGGATGCCTGGTGTGTTCATTACCTATGTGTTTGGGACTGGTCCTCTCTGAAGGTTTTTCACTGCTTAGGGCTCCCAGGGTTGCTGTTAAAACAGAAGATTGTTGCTGGGCCTGGAGGTGGTGATTGTGATGAGCAGCGTGGTGGTGATTTACTCCCAAAAAGGACCTCACATTGAGCAGGGAACTTTGAGTAAGGAAAGCCCCATTTGTCCAGTTGTGAAATTTGCCAATCTGGCATGTGTAGAGTCCATGGCTGGGGAGAAAAGCAGGGTGCTGGATCTGTGGAGAAGTGTGGTTAACCTGGGCAGTAGGGGGTGGTGGAGGAGAAGATTTCAGGGCCCCATCAGGACTGGTTGCTGTCTCTGCCAAAGACCAAATCTTGGGTTTGCTGTGAGGTGGCATCTGTAAATTGTTCTGTCCCCCGGGACTGATGATCCGCGTGCTGTTGTCAGAGGCCTCCTTCACTATGGCCAGCGCGTCTTTGGGTTTCAGCCCTTCAGACCCCGACAGTGCCAAATCCTTCTCCTTTTCTAAATGCTCCTCTTCACTGCTTTGCCTCAGGAGATCGGTCTTCTCCTCCTCTTCCTCGTTGCTCTGCTCCCCATCGTTCTCGTCGATTTTATCTATATCAATGCTCTCCAGGTCGATTTCCTCATCGTCTTCATTCTTCTCAGGGTCCCCCTCATTGTCACTCCCGAAGAGATTTGCATCTTCTTGGTCTTTACTCCTGGAGCCCCAGGTCACCTTGTTCTCCTTCTTGAGCCGCCGGCGGGCATTGGCGAACCAGGTGGAGACCTGGGTGAGGGTCATCTTGGTGATGATGGCCAGCATGATCTTCTCGCCCTTGGTGGGGTAGGGGTTCTTGCGGTGCTCGTTAAGCCAGGCCTTGAGAGTGCTGGTACTTTCCCGAGTTGCATTTTTGGGCCGCCCAGGGTCGCCGTATTGGAACTGTCCATAGGGATAATAGCCGGGGGCAGTGTGGGCAGCAAAGGTAGCAGGGTGGACACCCGGATTATCTTTCAGCTCGTACTGGGAGCCCTGCAACACATTCAGACAAACGGAGAGGAAAAAGCACATCAATTATCTCGTTAACGTCTCTAACAGACCTGAATAGGCTACTGCGGGAGACGGAATACGCCTTGGAGCAGCGCAAGAGTCTTCCCAGGCAAATTCGGCCCTTCTCGCTCCAGGCTCTTCACGTTTAGATCAGGCAGAGGTATTCCCAAACGGTCTCCCCCCACCCCATTCTCTCAGGGAAAGGAAAAGAGAGGGGCTAAACTGGGCTCTGCCAGGTATTATGCTTATTTTATCCGCAAACCAAATAAAATCAAACGATGGAAAGGCATCAACTTCGCATTCGCCTCGGCGAAACAGTTTATTGTGCATTCGAAATTACCAGGCAGAGAAAGCAGGTACTGCTCCCCAGTTACAAACTACTGCCCGCGCACAGCGTTGCATTTGTCTGCAAAATATCCCGGAGGATATTACAGATGCACGCAGAGCGTTCTTCTTTGGCCCCCGATCTGCCTTTAAAAGGAGTTGGCGTGAGGCGAGGCTGGAGAGATAAATGCACAACTTCAGGACGAAGACACTTATAGTGTAAGAGATTTTCCACACACAAGCCAATTCCTCCCCAACCCTCCCCTCTCAAAATCATACACTAAGATTCTGGTGGGAAACATTAACTTGTAACTCTTAGAAAAGCCTTTAAACTCTCGAATGAAAACTGACCCATGCGGTTTAGAATATGGATATGCAGACACTTCATCTCCGAAGTTTTACTTTGATCCTGGCAGAGCAAACACAAATTGTTTACAAGCATTCAGAGACGGTGATTTATTTGCAATCAATATTCTTTTTATCGTCAGTAGTAAAACACAGCAAGTCAAATTATCCCATCAGGTGTTTTGATAAATAACATTTTATCTTTCTAGCAACCTCATTAGGCCTCATTATTACCGCAGATTGCCCAGATATTGATGCAATATTTTAGCACTTGAATTACAATGCTCAAAATTGTAGAATTTATTTCAAAATATCATCATCATGGCAAATCACTGTAGCAAAATACCAGGATAATCTACAAGTAGGAAAGGGAACTGATTCAAAATAGCTAACGTTTAAAGCCGTTTTGATTTTCTTTTCTTGCTTCTAGTACAATCTGGCTTTCGGGCTTCATTCCCCCCCCC